TGATCTTGAGTTCTGATGATTATTTAATGTATTAAATAATGACTCTAATCATTTTGAAATAGAGAAACTAATTAGTAAATTAAATATAAAAAAGAGCGAGGCCTAAAAAAGAACATTTTAATCGTAATGTAAAATTATAAAAGGAGACATAGCTTAAACATATAGTTAATTTTCTAATTAAATAATATATAAGATTGTTACTAACATATTAGGATAATAGTTTTATGAATGCGTCCAGATTATTTTAATCTTAAAACTTTATAAAATATTGAAATTGACAGCTGAATAAAAACTAATATTTAAGAGATAATTATATTGTATTAATAATAATATTTATAAAATATAATTTTAATATTTACCTAAATATATTATATCAAATTATGAATCGTAACTTTGTTTGATTATGAATCATTTTGTCTTCCAAATCAAATTTTAAATGAATTTATATTCTTAATACATTAGTCATCTGATTTTTCAATAAGATAATAGCTATTGCTTAATAACAATTATACATCATGAATTAGTAAAAATTCTGTATTTCCTCTACCTATTTCCAGTAAAAATGAAATTTTTAAAGAAAAAACATACCTAAAATCTTTTTTGTTTGTATTAACAACCAAAGTAAATGTATTAATTTAGCCAATATAAATAGCTAATGAAAAAGTAAATAACTACTCCTAACTCAGAATAATAAAAAGCTATATAGAAATTGAAAAGAAAGAAGATGGATTAATGATAAAATTAAAAATTTAAATTAAAAGGATGAGGGAAACGAATTATTAATAAATTAAGATAAATTATTGAAAGAGTAAATTGAATCAAAATAATACATAAATGAAATTATACCAATTCATTTTAAAACAATATGTGAATTATATGATGAAGTTCTTGTAGAAACTACGTGTATCCATAAATGGTCATTGCTAATAATATTGAAATTTAATAGGAAAAGTTGATGGTGGATGTAAAAAGAGAACATAAATTTAATACAATCTTTTGGTTATATTGAATAGTAATCAATTTCATTAACATAACCTTCAAATTTTTATTCTCTTTATTTACATCCTCCATTTACGAGATAAAACAATCCAGTAAGTTATTGTAATCTTAGTATTACATATAATCTATAAAAGTATTTGAAGCTCTATATTTTATATTAATTTTAATAATATTTGCATTTATTTACCTAAAAATCTTAATTACCATTATTCTCAAATTCAACAGTAATCTTCAATTTTATAATATTTAGCAATTATTATGTTTATATAAAAATTTAAATCCTGCTAATCTATTTACAATAATATTAATTAATCTTCAGTTTTTTATAACTATAGATTAACTTTTGAAACATCATTTTCTATTCATCAATAATTAACTAAGATTATCAATTTAAGAAATCTCTAAATTATATAAAATAAAATAGTTTACAATTAATACAATAAAGCAAAGTTTATGGAAAGATCTATTTAAATATGTGGCTCATTAAGCTCTATTTGTGGCCAGCTATTGAGAAGAGCTTCTACAATCTTTTTATATCCATCCTTAATCTGTTATTTACTTTATTTTCAGATCATCTTTTCCTTTTAACAGACTAACCTTAGCTTTTCAAAGGATTAAATTTATTAAAAGCGCCCGATTGGGATGGCAAAACGTTTAGAATAGATTTTCAGATTTAGCTGGTATTATTTTTAATTTGGCTCTCTTTCAGTCCTCCTTTCTATGTGTTTTCTTTTAGGCTTATTCATAGTTCCTGTTGCAGTATTTGACATCATAAATTCCAACATGATTCTTAGGTTCTTTGTTAAACTAGTCTCCAATTAATGAAATCACTCAAAATAAAACTTCCACCTTCAACATTCTAGTATCTCAGGAAACCCGGTTTCCTGTTAATTGGCAAACTTTGCCTTGCCTCATTTAAATCTTTACCTTACTCTGTCTCAATGTTGTGAATGAGGTAAATCAGTCGGTTAGTCATCTATACCCAGGGGTTGTAGGCTTTTTATGCTCATAATTCAGTTAAAGTCTCTATTATTCATTTTAACCAGTCCATCTCCAAAAAGATTCAATCAAAATTTTTATCTGTAACCCTATATCTTGTGTTGTTCATATTTATGCTCTCTACTTAGATATCCAGCACTTTTTATTCACAGGCTCAACACAGGGCAGATTTATCTTTTTTATCTTCAAATTTTTAGAAAAAGATTATTATTTACAACATCTTATCAAATAATGATAATAAAATAATTATCCTTAGAGCTCAATGATTAAAATTTTTATCATTGATGCCACATATTTTTCAATTAATAAAAGGGTAATTTTTTGAGAAACTATTTGCAATTTTCATCTTTATTATAATATTTCATATCTCTATGAAAACTACAATAATATTAACGGAGTTTAGTAAAATAATAATGTAATTTATGGTTTTTAAGAATATTCGTGTATATTTTATTTTCCAATATTGAAACTAGTTTTTAAATTATATTGTTACAGAACAAATTAATTTAATATTTTTCTTTTATTTAATTCATTATGTGGTAAATCTATGTCCGTTTTCAAAGTACAATCTAAAGTGAAAGATATTGAGAATAGTTTCTTGACTATTTCTTTGGTTTATCTAAGTACCCTTGAATATATTGTATTAGAATTCATTTTTAAGTTAAAATTTATGCTATTAGGCTGATGTTATAACATCTAGATTCCGTTAACAGGCTCTAAGAACTTAGATAATGTTATTAAGAATTCCAAGAATTCTACAATAGAGGATTAGGATTCTGAATGTTTAAATAAATCCAAAAAATAATGAATAGTATATAAGCATCTCTTGAAAGTAGCTAGATGAAAATTAAATTCTCAAATATGTGGTTATTTGGAGCAATTAAATGATCTCATCACCAAGTTTAGAACTCAGAAATTTTCAAATTAAAGGTAACATGTGATGACAGAATAATGTCATTACATTCCATTTTTAATTTATATCGGTTATAAAATTTCATTAAAAATCATAATTTAAAGTATTTAAAACATATCTAATTATTTATTTTTGTAAATCCAAAATTCAAGATAAGAGAAGTAAGCCATAAGGTTAAGTGCCTTAAGCTTTGAAGCAAAAACCTAAAAAAATAAGAGATTGAACGTAAATCGTAAGAAAGGTAACAAATGATATAATTAATCTGAAAACCTAGATTAATTGATGAGGAGATTGATGAATTAAGAAATACTTTTAATTTATTTGATATAGAAGGGGCAAGAAACAGGAAGAGAGAATAAAAAATAGCAATTTAAAGTTTTGGATTTTATTAAAAAAATCCAATTATTATGAAAATAATTTCTTAATTAGAGAACGAAGGATATGTAGAAATGATATTTTGACAATTTTCAGGTAAAATTAATAGAATAACCAAGATTCAGGGAAATTTTTATAAAATATGAGAGCACACTTAATTTCTAAAAATTTAGGAATACCATCACTATTTGGTCATACCTATTAAATTTGATAAGGGAAGTTACAAAAACTTTGTTTAACTATTAAAATGGAATTATAGATATGGGTCTAAAATAATAAGATATTGTCTTATTTGTTAAGCACACTATAATATATAACTAAAATATTTTATTTTCATCTTTAGATGCAATTAAATCCTTTATTTTTTAGAATGGAAGAACAAGATTTTAAAATACACTTTTATTATTTTATATTTGATGATTGTAAAGAATTTTATGTGATTTATAAAGAAAATTAACCTTCAAAGTTTTATACTTATAATAATTTATTTTTGATGAATTTCGTTTATTCTATAATTTTAAAGATAAATAATATTTGATAAAGAAAATTGTTAAAGCAGATAAATCTCTAATCAAATAAAAGGAGTGATTTAATTACTTTTAAATTAAAGAATTTAAGATGATAGAAAAGAATGAAATGGAACAATTAAACAATTTTTGACTAAATTTCATAAAATGAAACAATTATATTACTAGGGTAATTCTAATTTTAAATTTAATTTGAATTAATACTTTGGAATATATCTAATCCAGAAATTATCATTCTTACCAAATCTTTATAATAAAGTATATTCACTCCTTTGAATTTATTAAGCTAAATTATCTCTTTCATTGAATAGTAACCTATTATAATTTAACCTAAAAAATTAGACGAAATCATACTATATACAAAAAATAAAATTTTTAATCGTTCATTTACCATCTAAAATTTATTGAATAGAAATTTACATTTAGAAATTGAGTGGCATGATTAAATAAAAAAAATAAAAAACGAGAAGTAAATTAATTTCTATTACAATAAAACTTCGATTTTTTATTTTTTTAGTTTTTCATATGGGTCTTTTAATTATGATTATAAATTTTATTTTTTTTAAGGGCAGGTTGAATATACCAAGTTTGTCCTGGTCAATGGGTTGGACAATCATTAGTAAAAGAGAATTTATTTAGGCAAAGTCAAATGACAAAATAGGAAAGTCAAAGAAATCGACTAATTTCTGCTTTATAAAGTCTTTTAAAACATACAATTCTATGATTGCAATAAATACTGTTTCATAAAATAGAATAAATTAGATGGAATTTAAGATTTCACCTATGAAAGAGTTAAGGAAATGAACATCATTTTAACAAAGTTGATGGAATAATATAATTATTAATATATTTATATAAATAGACACCATAATCTATTTAAGTTTACTATTGTAAGAAATTAGAATGATTCATTTTATTTTATTGTAATGGAAAAAAAATTTATAGAAAAAGGATTAAAACAATTTCATTATTGAATAATTTGAGATTAATAATATGTTAAGTGAATTATGGTAATATCTATAGAGGCTATTAAATTCTATAATTATTAAATTCAAATAAAACTTAAACTTTACAATTATTCCTTTAATTAAGATTTGAGAATTAGGAAATTAATTACTTTTTTCATCAATTAATAAAGAAAGATATATTTAATTTCAATTAATTTGAGAGAGAAGATGACGATATTTGATTTGGCAATCTCATTAAATTCAAAACAACCTAAATACTTTTGTATGAAAGATGAAAAAAATTAGATTGTTAAGCGAATAGATTAGCAAAACTCAATTCTCAAAAAAGAGGCATTTGAATGTTATGATAATTTAGTTAAATTTTATAAAATTTAACTAATTATTTCTGTCACAAATATAGGAGAACAATGTCTCTCTTTTCTTCTTTACAAAATTTTGATTATAGAGTTTGACTAATTGTATCTAAATTCTTCAGTTGTTAATTTTTAGATTCACCAGTAATTCTTATTCTAAGGTGGTTGATACTTGAAGACATATTGATTCCCAATACATTGATTCTCCTTTTGATTTAAACTATGAGTTGTAGCTCAATGCTTCATTAAAATTTAAAATAATTAGCAGCATCATTTATAATTAAGTATTTTATAAAACAATTTATGATATTATCGTAATTTATAGAAATAACAATTATTATCTGAAAATTTTCACAATATTTTTGCGGGTATATAAATCTAAAAATCAAATAATATATGTATAATTATTTTTATGAATCGACAAAGTCACTCAATCAGAAAATTTATATATATTAA